AGGTGCTGCACCTGGGGAGGAGGAACCAGCAGCATACCTACAGGCTGGGGAACTCCCTTCTCGTCAGTGCAGAGGCAGAAAAGGATCTTGGAAGCATTATTGATGCCAAAATGAACATGGGCCGACAGTGTGGGGATGCAGTCAGGAAGGCCAACCACAGCTTGTAATGCATCCACAGATGCATCTCAAGCAGGGCCAAGGAGGTGATCCTCCCCCTCTATGCGACACTGGTCAGGCCACAGTTGGAGTACTGCATCCAGTTCTGGATGCCGCACTTCAGGAGGGATGTGGATAACTTGGAGCGGATCCAGAGGAGGGCCACCCACGTGATCAGGGGCTAGCAGGGCAGGCCCTACGAAGAGAGGAACCTGTTCAGCCTCCACAAGAGAAGGTTGAGGGGGGATCTAGTGGCCTGTTACAAACTAGTCGGAGGGGATCAGCAGGCATTGGGGGAGTCCCTGTTCCCCTGAGCACTACCAGGAGTGACAAGAAATAACGGTCACAAGCTGGCAGAGGGTATATTCAGACTAGACATCAGGAGGCGCTACTTCACAGTCAGGGCAGCTAGGATCTGGAACCAACTTCCAAGAGAAGTGGTGCTGGCTCCTACCCTGGGGGTCTTTAAGAGGAGGTTAGACGAACACCTTGCTGGGGTCGTTTGACCCCAGTACTCTTTCCTGCCATGGCAGGGGTCGGACTTGATGATCTGCTCGGGTCCCTTCCGACCCTACCAACTGTGAAACCCAGAGAATGGTGGTGGACGGGTCATTTTTGACCTGGAGGGATGTGGGCAGTGGAGTCCCCCAGGGTTCGGTGTCATGGTGCATGTCTGCTATAGACTGCCAGACCAGGGGGATGAGGTGGATGAGGCTTTTCCCAAGCAGCTAGCAGAAGTTTCCAGGTCACAGGCCCTGGTTCTCATGGGGGACATCAATCACCCTGACATCTGTTTGGGTGTAATACAGCAGTGTACAGGCAATCCAGGAAGCTTTTGGAAAACGATGGGGACAACTTCCTGGTGCCAGTGTTAGAGAAACCAACTAGGGGCTGTGTTCTTCTTGACCTGCTGCTCACAAACATGGAAGATTTGGTGGGGAATGTAGTAGTGGATGATAACTTGGACAGCAGCAACCACAAGATGATTGAGTTCATGAGGAATTCAGTCCTGAGGAAAGGAGATAAGGGTAAGGACCCTGGACTTCAGAAAAGTTTGACTCGCTGAGGGAACTGATGGGCAGGATCTATTGGGAGGCCAGTCTGAGTGGAATAAGAGTCCAGGAGAGCTGGCTGTATTTTAACAAATCCTTACTGGGGGTGCAGGAACAAACCATCCCAATGCGCAGCAAAACTAGCAAGTATGGCAGAAGACCAGCTTGGCTTAGTGGGAACACTTCAGTGAGCTAAAACACAAAACGGAAGCTTGCGAGACGTGGAAACCTGGACAAATTATTAGGAAGGAGTATAAGATTATTACTTGGGGATGCAGGGATGAAATCAAGAAGGCCAGAACGCAGTTGGAGTTGCAGCTAGCAAGGGACGGGAAGGGTAACACGAAGGGTTTCTACAAGTATGTCAACAAAAAGAACAAGATCAAGGGAAGTGTGGCTCCCTTACTGAGTGGGGAGGCAACTTAGTGACAGATGATACAGAGAAAGCTAATGAACTCAATGCCTTTTTTACCTCAGTCTTCACAGGCAAGGTCAGCTCCTAGACTACTGCACTGGGCACACAGTTTGTGGAGGAGTTGAGCAGCTGGTAGTGGCACAAGAACAGTTATGGGACTGCTTAGTAAATCTGGATGTATACAAGTCTGTGGGACTGGATGTGATGCACCTGAGGGTACTGAGGGAGTTGGCTGCTGTGATTGCAGGGCCATTGGCCATTATCTTTGAAAACTCATGGCAATTGGGAGAGGTCCCAGATGAGTGGAAAAAAGCAAATATTGTGCCCATCTTTTAAGAAAAGGAAAGACGAGGATCCAGGGAGCTACAAACTGGTCAGCCTCACCTCAATCCCTGGAAAGATCATGGAGCAGGCCCTCAAGGAATCCATTTTTAAGTGGAGGAGGAGAAGGTGATTAGGCACAGTCAGCATAGATTCACCAAGGGCAAGTCCTGCCTGACCAACCTGATTGCCTTCTATGTTGAGGAGACTGGTTCTGCAGATGGCGGAAGAAGTACGTGTTGCATGAATGGACTATAAGGTGGAAAGAGAACTATCTGGATCATTGGGCTCGGAGGGTAGTAGTCACTGGCTTGATGTCTAGTTGGCAGCTGGTATGCAGTAATGTCCCAGGGGTTGGTCCTGGCACCAGTTTTCTTCAATATCTTCATCCTGTGCTTAGGATGGAATGGTCTTATGCACTGCTACCGGCTGGGGACTGACAGGCTAAGCAGCAGCTCTGCATAAGAGGACCTGGGGGTTACAGTGGACAATAAGCTGAATATGAGCCAACAGTGTGCCCTTGTTGTGAAGATGGCTAACAGTGTACTGGGCTTCATTAGTAGGAATGTTGTCACCTGATTGAGGGGTGAGGCCAGGTCTGGAGTACTGTGTCCGGTTTTGGGCCCCCACTACAGAAAGGATGTGGACAAATTGGAGAGAATCCAGTGAAGGGCAACTAAAAAAAGTGAGGGGGCTGGGCACAAGACCTATGAGGAGAGGGTGAAGGAATTGGATTTATTTAGTCTGGAGAAGAGAAGACTGAGGGGGGATTTAATTAGCAGCCTTTAGCTACCTGAAGGGTGGTTATGAAGAAGATGCAGGTAGATTATTCTTGGTGGTGGCAGAGGACAGAACAAGGAACAATGGTCTCAAGTTGCAGCAAAGGAAGTTTAGGCTATATGTTAGGAAAAACTTCCTCATGGTGAGGGTAGTAAAGCACTGGAACAGGTTACCCAGAGAGGTTGTGGAATCTTCATCTTTGGTGGTTTTTAAGACCTGGATAGACAAAGCCTTCGCTGGGGTGATCTAGTTGGGGGTTGTCCTGCTTTGACAAGGGTGTTGGACTAGATGACCTTAATTTTCCAACCCTAATTTTCTATAAATTGTCTAGTATCAGCTGCAGTATGAGCAGTAAGATTTTTTTTTTTTTTTTTGCTCGGGGGAGTGGGGGAGGGAATTTCTGGAGTGCCAGGATGAGGGAGGAGGGACGTGTGGGCCATCTGCAGTGTGTGTAAGTGCTTTGTTGCTAATACAGTGATTATTCCATTGGGATAATTTAGCTCTTTGTGGAATGCCACCATGCAGCTGGTCTGATTTAAGAAAAGGGTTTTTTATAACTGTGGTAAGAATGATTTTTAGTGTATGGGGGTGAGGGAAAAGGAGAGTGGAGGTAGCTACATCTTCAGGATTAAAAATTCTGAGCTACATTGAGTCTGGGTATAGCTTGGAGTGAGTGAGCTTGAAATGGAAATGCAAGCCCTTTGCTTAATTGTGTAACAGTTCAATGTTTAAATAAAAAATGATCTAGGAAGTTGGAGGTTGAAACTGGAACATTGTCATCTCTGCTTGTGTTGCTATCTACATGGATGAAGAAATACACTTCATCCTTTACTCTGGTTTGCCAGCTTTTGCCCAGATAAATACCTTATGTTTAAAAGAGGTACTTGATCCCTTTCATAGATTTCATAGATGTTAGGGCTGGAAGGGACCTTGCGAGATCATTGGGTCCAGCCCCCTGCCCAAGGAGCAGGAAGTCAGCGGGGGTCAGATCACTTAGCCATTTTTGTTTTTTGAACTAAAACTTAATGCGACAGATGGTGAAACAACTGAAAGTTAAGTGTCATTATCTGTTATCCTGAAATAACTGACTTCTCCATCTAAATATATTACTAACTCTTTAGATTCAAATGTCATTGAACTATTGTGTTACTGCAGTGCTGTTGTGGCTTTTGGGTGTGTGGATATTGGGGGTGTGGAGGAGTTTAAATTTTCACTTGCAGGTCTTGAGCAAGTGTTCTTGCAACTAGTCAGCTCTTCTGCATTTACTGATCTTCCTGGATACATTTTTTAAAATCCTAGCTGTTTAGTTTATGAATAGTTTTCTGGAGGTTTACATATCCTCATACTGGCTTACTTTAAAACAAGATCACTGATTGCTGCCCTTGGAAGATTTAGTATGTATGTTTGAAACAAGCCAAACTTAGTTCAGGTTGAAGTGTTATAGTAGATTATGACTGAACCTACAGAAGCTCACCTAAAACACAAGTGTTTGCAAAAATGAAGGCTGAGCATTCCCTTCTGGGAGACATGCTTACAAAATGGTAAAACAGTTATTGTTAAGGATAAAATGTTGTAATAAAGATAAGCATGTAAAGAAAGCAAAAATTATCTTTACTATAGTAAGCTCAGTGAACTGCAAGCATGTGAGAGTATTTTTGAGAAGCCACTTTTGTTTTGCTCTTCATAACAAACAGTGTAGTTTGGCACTTCCAAATTAGATAACTTTATAACTATTCCCTGTGGCTGACACTGGGAAGCCCAAGGTTGCCAAAGCATTTAAAGGAAGCTATATACTTGTTAACATTTAAAGGCAACTCACTTTGGTTTTGAAAATCTGACCCTTCCCTTACTTTACATGAGTGATATAAACTCATTTTCAAATTATATGCAGCAAAAGAAAAAACATCATGTGAAAGTTCTTGCACCTGCTCCTTCTGCTATTAGAATTCGTTTTCATCATTTTATAGTAATTTATTTCCCAGTGAAAATCATTTATATTAGCCAGATTCCACATTCAGATCCTAGTAAACTTTAAGTCCAGTTCTTTACTTACTCTCTTATGCACCTGAGTGTTTCCTTTCTTCTACAAGAGTCTGTAGGATCAAACCCCTGAGCTTATTAATGCCTTTATGCAGTAGTGGAGTTTGAGGTCTGACCACATGTATATCAGACTATTATGTATGCATCTAGAAACATTTACACTTTTAGTGTGGCTATCTGAGATCCTATTTGAGCTTTTTCTCAGTGTATGCTATCGTTTCTGATTATCTTTCAAGACTTCTCAAAGATGCCTGCTGCCCGTGATTCACTGCTTGAAGACATAGAAGATATTGTGTCAGCAGAAGATCTGAAACCACATGACCGACAGTTTGTAAGAAAAAGTATTGTTCCTAAAGTGAGAAAACGCAACTTGCAAAAGAATGTTCAGGCAGATGATGATCCCCCAAGCGACAGGTAAGTGTTTTCTTCTAAAGAAAATTCCCAACACGTATTGCTAATTTTTTTGAAAAATAAGATGGAATGTGGCATTCTTCAATTGTTTTTAAGCTGCATTTAGATTTTTTGGTAACTTTCTGTTAAATGCATAATTTAGGAGCAAGTTTTAAAAAATACTTACAATTCAATGTTGTGGCCAGTTTTTTTCCCATTAAGATATGTGAACCAGATTTTATACCCAGCATTTCCTGTTATCTTCAGAGAGGTACTGAATAGTTCTGCTACTTTGACATTTGACTGGGATCTGAGCTCCTTGAAAAATTTGACCCTTAGATCCCTCTTTGAGGAATCTGGGGGTGAAGAAGTTGAAATTTTTTAGAGTGGTAACAGTTTACATTTGATTGTCTTAGAGTAATTATTAATTACATAACTGACTAAATGCAGTGGTGAAATATCAACATCAGGTAACATAAATATTTTGAGTATTAATTTTATAACAACAGGAAGCTGCTGAATTGATGCATCATCTGTTAAGTGAAAAAAGAAAGGGTAAAAATGAGTCTGTTCCTTGAATGCAAACTTGTTTTAAAGAATACTGAAGTACTTTGGCATATTGCATCTATCCTTTTGTTCCTCTCAACTTCTGTATTTATATGTGGTTTTTCAGTTTTGTTTTCTGTTTCCTATTACTATGTGTAAAGTATCTGCTGATTGACTGTACCCAATTTTGTCAAATGCAAAAAACAGATGGAATACAAATATTTTCATAAGACTAGACAAAATAGTTTTATAGAAATGTGATTTTTTTTAATGTTAAAGGTGTCTTCTTCACGTAAGCCTGTCACATGTGTTGGTAAACCCAATAACAGAAATAAGTTTGTTTGCTTCTAATTTCCTTAGCTAATAAGTGCTGTTAGTATTTCTGGTGGTTTACAAGACTTTAAAAAGGCCTTGCCATGAGGCATCATGGCAGGGCCTTTTCCCCCCAGGGTACTCAAGGAGCTGGCGAGCACCATAGCTCAGCCCCTGGCACAGATCTTTGAGAACTCCTGTTGCTCTGGTGAAGTGCCCGAAGATTGGAAGAAGGCCAATGTGGTTCCTATCTTCAAGAAAGGGAGGAAAGCAGATCTGGCAAACTACAGGTCCATCAGCCTGACCTCTATCCTGGGGAAGGTCTAGGAAAAGATTATCAAAGCGGCCA